AGTTCGAACTGTTTTGGGCCGATTCTGAACAGATATTATATATCCTGTAAATACTGTCCAGCCCTTACATTACCCAACAACAGTAGACGTTGCAGAGTTCTGTTTTCTGGGATCTAACGCCGTAGAGTCGGTTGAAAGTCAACCGACGTTGCGGAGGAACATATCGTCTACATCTTGAAGGTCGAAGAATATGTCAAGCGAGAAACCAGCTTGAAAGCTCTGCTTTCCAACTGTTTTCTTGAAGGCGGCACGTTCTTCCTAAACGTCGGTTCACTTTCAAACGGACTACACAGCGTTATATCTCAGAAGACAGAACTCTTCATAACTACCGCTATGATAACCTCAAATCCCACAATGGTATGAGCCTCTTCATGTAGTTAAAACAAAAAATACATGTTGGCCGACTCTGATGATTAGCTTCTGATATTCATTCATTCATCAGTAATCTGTCAGACGACAGGTCCACAGTCTCTTCCAAAACAGTTCCTCCACCTAATGCGATCTTCTGTTTTTGGAAAGAGACTATCCAGGAAAAGTGATAATGTGGTAGTTTTTCCATTTGCTTTCCACATCGCAGTACAACAGCCGTTCAAACCACTCTGGTCACGCCTGTTGCTATACGAACAGATAAGAAATACCTTCCCATGATGCACGCGTTTTCTCTAAATATTCAAAAATAATAACAATGAAATCAGATGGTCGTGGCCATCCATCGCGTTCAAGTTTAATTTTATTTCTGCAAGTGAAGATCGTTTGGAAAAATCCACACGGTTGACCCTGTACGTTATCCTTCTCTCATTTGACTTGCCCCGTCATTCTGTATACGTAGACTCGCATTATTACCATATATATTTACGTAAATACGTATGTTTCCATAAAGACGAGTGGCAGATGCGAGAAAACAGATGAATGGTCGCTAAAAGCATTGACATGGCCTTCTGTATGCTGCGCACTTGAGTCGAAGCAGAGATGATAATAGACTGAGGTGGGAGGACAACAACAAAAGGCAGATGACACTCGCTGGAGAGTGCGATGTGAATAAAAGAAAAGGAGAAGTCACATCGTCACCACTGCAGCCATCTACCCGTCAATTGTTATGTTAATAACACTCCAAACGTATTTCACGCTTGAGAGCCTTGGAGAAGCATAAACAGACCATTATATGGTCCGGTCGCTATGATTCGGCCTTCGTAATGAACAGATCAGGTCAACATTGTGCGGCAGGGAATATGCGAAGATCATATATGTATTAGAATTGCGAACCACTCTAATATTAATTTATGATGATCATTATCACTATCACGGGCACCTGGTAGCGTAGTTGGTTAAAGCACTATGCTACAACCCGGAAGGTCGCGGATTCTGGTCCCGGTGAGGTGGATTTTTTAAATGTATCTAATCCTTCCAGCCGCATTATGGCCCTGGGTTCGGCTCAGCCTCTAACAGTGATGAATACCAGGAATCTTCCTGGGGGGTTAAGAGCTGTCGGGTCGTAAGGCTGACAACCTTACCGCCATCTGTGAACCGATTGTCTAGAATAAACGCGGGAGCCTCAATGTCTCACAACCCTATGGGCCTTCACGGCCTATTACGTGGATAGTTTTACCTCTTTTTATATTTAATCGTGTACATAGGGAAGGTTGGAAGCCGTTTGCAAATTCCTGAACGATGTGCACCTTGGAAGATTTCCAATTGTGCTGAGAACCTAAATCAAAGTCACATTGAATCTGACGGTCAGTCAGTCAGTAGTTCTTGGTGTCGAGCCCTATGTTGGGCTCATGTCCAGATATTTATTACTGTTTGACAGTTACGGTCTTGCTTCTGTTGGGCGCCCTCTCTGACGAGAAGACGGGTCTGTTTTTTTGTATATCCTGCTGGCCATTTACAGCGCAGTTTTTCTTGGGTCCGAGTACCTTGGGACTCGCGATCATATTTTACTGTCTCAGTTTGGAGACTTCCCTTTTAGTCGCCTCCTACGACTCGCAGGGTCACGGTGGAGGTATTCGACCTCTCCTCCACACGGGTTGTGCTGAGAATCTTGTTCTGTAGGCGCATATAGCTCCTCAGCACAGACCACCATAGAAAACACCGTTTCCAGCAGTTCCTGTACTGTTGCGTGTTGATTCGTTGCTGTAGAGATGTTCATTTGCGACCGTTACCCAATAACAGTCTGCAAGCTACAATGTTATTAGGATGATTAAACCGAGGGTTGGGTGAAATTGGCGAAGTATGGAAATTAATAGAAATGCATATAGAGATTTTGTGGATAAATTAAAGGGAACAGATCATTTGGGGAGAGTATGCGTAGATGGGAATATAATGGATGTTGAAGAAACAGGCTTAGTGTATGAGGGTGAGTATTCATCTGGGCAAGGATACGGGCCAGATGCCGACCTGACCAGCGGCGAGCTCTTGCGAACGCGGGAAATTAAATTTCGGGTTCCAAGGCAGGTGAAAGATATCATGACTATCTGAGCAGCTTTTAGCTTCTCAATAAGAAACCCGGTAATTGGACTTCGTTGACATCACCTTGACTTCGACAAATAAAATGGCGCTGATGCTGAACTCTTTAAATTGTCCAAATACTACATAAATATTCAAATGAGACACGGACCGCTTCGGAAAGTACAGTCATGTCTAATTTCTCTGTTCAAGTATGCTCGTTTTGTGCAGAAATTCGTTTCCCTTATATTGTAACAGCGGGGCGTGTTTCCATGGTAATGATGTAGATCGCCAGGTGCTGTTGCTGCTGTCGGGGTTTTCTTTATACCTTTTACTGCTATAACAATACGTCACGCTATGCCTCTTTCCCTGCTGCCGTGGCCTTCTTTAATTCAGCGTCAAATTCTTATTTTCTTGCGAACAAGAAAGACCATAGATACTTGTAGCTATTGTAAGTCCACTACCGCAACACCTTTTTTTTTTTGGCGATGTTGTTCTCTATTTATGCAGCCATGCTTCAAGTATTCCTTTCATATTACACTTATATGAATCGTAATGCGTTAGTAACAGAAAGAGGCGGTCTCTGGTGGTAAATCCTGGAAGGTGACTGCTAACAGCTGCCCGTCTCGCTGGCACAAATATGTGACGCGACGTCGTGTGCTACACTGATCGGATTAAACTGTCCCTTGTAGGGATTTTTTTTCCATAAACGGGGAAAAATAACACGGTGACAAAGGACTGTAGAATAATGGAAAATGAGGTAATAAAGACATTGGTGGTGTTATATCTCTGCCACCTGGATAAAGTAAGTGTCCTGTGCGACTCTTTTTCGGGCGAAAACGAAACTTTTACAATAGAGGATTAAAGCTGGTGCATAATTTTCCCATAATGTACAATAATGGGTTTATGAAGGCGGCTTGTGTCCCAGAGTCGGAAAGTGGCACACGTGACTTTGGCGCACAGGCCTACCGATGTACAAGTATAATGGATTTGTCTGACGGATGTGGCTCAACTTCACAAGAGGTTCATGTTCATCATTATCACCATCATCATCATCATCGTCGTCATCCCCCTTAATTAAGGATTAAGTCTTTAGCTTAAAATTAGTTCGGTATCGCCAACACCAGCGTTCATATAAGATGGTTCATGCAGTTTAATTTGTTTAATTTTACCTGCCCATCTAGATGAGGGTTTCCCGTTTAGTTTCATATATACACATTTTGTTCGTGGTCCACTGTAGCGAATTCGGCCATCCATCTCACGAATTTGATTTCAGCGGTCTGTATAATATTTTCTTCTCTAATAGACAGTGACCAAGCATAAGTACGATAAGAAATAAATAAAACCAGATTATAATAAATTAATTTTGTTGCCTTATATAAACTGATCGACCGCCTATGTGGTCTAGTGGTCAGCGTTCCTGACTACAGATCCAAAGGTCCGGGTTCTATTCCCGGCGCTACCAGATTTTTTTTCGGAGAAGTAGTGGGTCTGGAACGGGGTCCACTCAGCCTCATGATGATAATTGAGGATAGCGGCTCCGGTCTAGAAAACCGAAATTAACGGCCGTGGGGATTCGTTGCGCTGACCATGCGACACCCTCTATCCGCAAAAGTTGGCACTAAACTTCGCCGACAAGCTGCCGTCGCTCGCTCGGTCGGTATGGTTCGCTTGCGGACTGAAATCACGGAGTTTTTTTTTTTTTTTGTATACACTGATTCACATATATTGACGCTGTTTAAGAACTAGAGACTGGAGAAAATATTTGAACCTAGAAGGGTATAAATAATAAGAGGGCAGAGATAATTTAATAAGGAGGAACTTCAAAATTTGTAATCAAATATACAAAGTTCGTTTTCTTCTTCTACTTGAATAATATAGACCATTGGCATGTTTCCGACATAAAGGGAGTATGTCCCTCCATCTACCTGTGGGTCATCCCATACTTCGGTGATCTCTGATTTTGTAACTGAATATTATCTTTGGGAGTTTATCTCGTGTTATTCTTAAAATATGTTCGTAACAATTTGCATAGAAAGTTTTGGTAGGGAAACCTGAAGGAAGGAATCCACTAGGAAGACCTGTGATTAAATGGGAGGATAATTTTAAAACGGACATTACAGCCGTAAAATAAAAGTGTGTGGACTGGATTCATCTCGTTCACAGTAGGGACCATCGGTGGGTTATCTTTAATATGTTAAAGAATGTATGGGTTCCGTAGAGGGCAATAAATTTTTTTAGAAACTGAATAACTATTAGCTTCTAAGGAAGGGCTCATTTTATGTAATTAGTTAACTAACAATAATTAAATTCTTAGGAGGCGTCATATAGCCATATTGTGATATGACTGATTGTCTTACAATAACCAACAATAGCCCAACATATTTCAGTCTTACCAAGAGCATATGGCACAGTAGTTACATAAGCTGTTGTAGGTTTTACAATATTAAGAAAAGACTGGTTTTAGTTATTTTTTAAAAAAACTACACATCTGTCTGTATTCCATGAAATCTTAATGGTGCTGCTTGAGACTATGAATGTGCCTGTGCTAATTGCAGGTAGCACTAAGTCCGCTGGTAGGTGAATCTGCCAACAGTGGTCTCTCTGTCGTTAGCTGTCGGCAACGCTGAATGTTACCATTGTACTGTGAGCACCTGAGGTGACTACTCTGACACACAGTTATGCTAAGGTTCTTCCACCCTGTGAGAGACCGAACAAATTCCTGTGTAAGTATCTTTTTATTTCCCAACAGAGGATGAATGACTGAAGTATATTGGGAATTTAATACGTGTATAGTACACGGCTATCTCCATCACAGACTGACAGCAACGCCATCTCATTCCTGGGGCATACGTAAGCTACTGCAGGTTTAGTGTCATGGAAACAGATCGTTTTTGGTTATGTTGGGTTTGAGGTTCTCACAACGTAACTATGAAGATTAACGTATTTTGTGACATGACGCCTTATAGGCCTATAGAAGTCACCAATGTATCGGAGGAACATACTGCTTCCATCTTCATGGTCGATGTATGATATGGATTTATTAGGTTCTTCATAAAATTCGGTAACTATCAGACTACACGGTATAATCCAAGAGACAATAAATTTTAAATCATAATCAGTGAATTGGATGGAATTTGGAAGGAAGCAGTCTTGGCTTAATATAATGTAGTAGGCCTAATGTGCCGGAACTTGCCCGGAGGGATTGAGGAAAATAACGGAAAAAGAAACTCCAGTAAGAATCATGAATCGGAACGACTCATTCGGTATAAAGGCGAGGGGTGGTCTGGATCGTCTGGATACTTGGGGAGTCGGGGTTCGATTCCTGGCAGGATCAATCTGATATTCCTTTCTTCGCAGAATCCAGACTAACTCTGGAGCTCAAAGAGGCTCCTGCCGTGCAGGTGCCGGCGGCTGTTTCTCCAGGCTGAAGCGGCTGGTGCATGAAATTGACCACTCACATCCATCTAGTGCCTATGTTAAGAATAAGGAGTACTATACCTCTGCTCCTCCATACGTCTTAATGGTATTGTGTCTAGTTAAGCACAGGGAGAAATTTGCAGTTACCTGTGAGGATAGCTGGAGTCGGGGCTTCGACTTTAATCCGGTACGTCCCGAACAGAAAGCAAGGATGCCAGCCGCTAGACCGCCATGTTCAGTGTGTAAGGAACTCTACAGTGTGGATCTTCTGTGATAACGAAATATCAGAAATGTACGGGACGTATGAAGTGATTCTACAGCAATAATAATAATAAATAAATATATTTACATACAAAATTATGCTTTGATATGAAAGCAGATCTCTTATGAGAGACCAAAAACCACCAGCACTTAAACACTACAATAAGAGAAATTTTAATAAATAACAATAATACTTAATCGATCTTAATTTTATTTTAACTTAATTTTAAATTGAAATTAATTTTAACTTAATATGTTTTAATTTATCATATGAACTGTATCTGGCATTGATACTGTGAATAACGCATATGAGCGTCCCCAAAAATTGCAAACATTGGCCAACGTAGGTAAAAAATAGTAGAAGAAGCAGTGTGTGAATGTCAAATGATTTACCTGATGATAGTCATAAATGGCCGAAACATGCTGTAAAGTAAAAAAACAATATAAAGTTATTCATTTCGTAAGGAAATTGTGTTGATGGAACCTAGAATAAATGACAGTGAAAGTTTTGGTTCCATAAAATGATTCTTCGAGAAATTGTGTTATTGGGCGTGTGGAGAACGAGATCATAATTTATAATTTTTCCAGGGTTTATACCAAGCAAGATTGTTTACACGAGTAACGTAAAATGAACCTTCGGGTTCCGAAAAATGTTGGGAAATTCTCGAGTACCTGCAGAATTTGCGGCTCCTCAAGAAGGGCTCAGCTCCGTGAGTAAGTAAGTAAGGTAAAAGTAAAAAGTTGTCTCTCTTTCACACCAGCCAAGGGAAAGTGGATGTACTGTTCTACGCATTCGTAATCTTGCTACTAGATGAGTTTTCAATTCATGGCCCCGATCGTCTTTTCCTGAAGAAAGAAGAAACGTAAATCCCATGGTTGAGATGATGTGGAAAGAAAAGTGAACTTGGATATGGACCAAACTACCGATGCCTGAATTGGTACCAGGAAATTTTTTTTTAACATATAGATGGCAGTGATAGCCACGCTGTCAGCCATTATGAAAATGGATGGGCGTGATCGGGCGTGATCGGTGTGACCACGAGGGAATCGTGGAAAGGTTTCAGCTTTGATATCTTTTTGTTTCTAGTTAAATAATTGATACTTGGAAAATTCCATGCTACTTCGAACAGCAGTAACAGCCCTGAAAAATGTGTTGACGTAAAATTTTGCAGGTAAAGAAAATTATATGCATCTCGTGAATAAAAGTACATTTGTGCTCGATGGTCAGCTTGTGGAAGATAGATTAAATAGGGTAATTGTATATATCTCGAAAAGTAAGTAAAAGTTTGAATATAGAAAATAAAGACCCAAGAGCATAATCGACACTGTTATTATTATTTACAAGGTTGTGATTGTGGTGGATTATATTGGATTGAGTTTTCATCACATCGCGGGATTTCCTCATGTAAATATTACTATATGGTAAAATCAGGTTATGTTCGGTACAGTATAATCATAACTGAGTTATTAAATGTTATTTGTAAGTTTGGGAGGAGTTTAAATGATGCAGATTTCTTTGAAAAGTGGAAGAAATCGCATCGTAACACTTCGGCAAGGGAAGTGATCCTTCTGCAGGGGGTACTACAGAATTTAACAGTGAAGAATAGGCCTTAGGGTTACACTGTGGTCATCATAATGGCATGCACCGAAAGCAAAAATTCATTAAATTATATAGTTTAAACATCCAACCACTGGTACTAATTGAAGGGTCCAGTACAAAAATTGGGTGTTTTAGTTATGTCCAGAATTTAGTGTTCCATTCCTTGTATGTACACAGTCCCATGTGTGTAGTTCAAGTGAACTAATGGTGAAGGTTGGGCCATGCTGTTGTGTAGTTTTAAATGGATTAGAAACATGCTTTTTGTTTTCTGAGAGTTAGTTAAGGCGTAGCCACATTGTTTCTGCACTGGACATTTCAGTTATGGCCAGTTTCTAGGGTAGTCCATGTGGGGCATATAGTGGACCAAGTGGCGCTGGGGTAGGGGAACACTTCCATTTTCTCTTGCCAGTTATCATTCCACCAATGCTCCACAGTTATCTGTCACCAGAGACTGGTGCATTAGGCCTATTTGTGGCCACAGTACCAAGTGACTTAGTCTCATCCTATGTCTGTCTACAGCTAAGAAAGTAGAACATGGTTATGTTATACACTACCTAGGGCTGCGTACATTTCAGAACTTGGACTTGGTTCCCCCCAGGGCAAAGCGATCGTTTGCTTGTTCTTTGTTTATTTATTTATTTATAGTGGATTTAACAATGCTATCAGTAACTCAGAATGTACAGTGTGAAATGATTTGGAACCCATGAATGATGAATTGTAAAGGACGTGGATGGAAGCAGGTATTGTCCAATTTAAGGTACTGTTCTGATATTTGCATGGAGGGACTGAGGAAGAACACGAGGATGCTAATAAATATTGGTGTCCCAACCGATATTTGAACTGGACACTTCCCGAATACATGCCAGAAGCATTACTGCAGTGGAAAAACCTAAAATATTTTGGAATGGCAGTACAAAGTAAAAACTGAAGCTTACATTGTCAAAGAAATTTAGAGAACAAAATTCAAAGAGTGTGTGCTACCATGCACTTCAGAACTCTGTGTCTTCTCATCTTGTGTCCAAAAATATTTATCTTTAATGGATTTTCAGAAAATTCTGCTCGAAATAAATTAAATTTGGCCAGTGATTAATCAAAGAAATATTGAACATCAATTTTGTCATGGTTCTAGTGAATGGTAAACGGTATCTTGGACTAGCAACTAAGCTAAACGCTGGACAGCCAAGAAACGAGGGTTCAGTTCCTGGCAGAGGTGACAGATTTATTTTTCCCTTTGTTACTGCATTCAGACAAACCACAGTGTTCATCCAGCCTCCTATCGAAAAGGTACCAGGGGCTCTTTTTCCATAGATAAAGTGGGGCATGCAGGTGACCTTTCACTTCCATCCAGTGCGAAGATTAAGAATGTATGGTGCTTAATTTAACACAGGGTCAACTTTACCTTTAGTTTCTATAAGGTGAAGTAGCAGTTACATTATAGTAAGTCATGAGGTTAAGTTAACATACAGCATATTTCATAAGTTGGCTATGTTGTCGTTATTGTCTGTCTCTTTCTCTCAGTCCCCATGTTTCCATGGAGTTAGTTTCTTTATTCTTAATTCACAGACCACCATAGCCCTGCAAGTCATAGGAGGCAAGCAAAGGGAACTCAGTGCCTGGGGCTATAACTGGGCCACCCTGTTCCTGGGGAATATACGTACAGGGACCTGGCTCTCCGGGTTGGGGGAGTCTCGAACCTGAGACAATAAAATATGGTCACAAGTCCTCCAGGACTTGGAACCAAGAATGACTGTGCTGGGAGGGCTAGCAGTAGTTGTAAGCGACAGACCCGTGCTCATGTGAGAGAGGTTGCTTCACATCAACACACCCCCAGCTGTCTGACAGAAATAAAAATCTGGTCTTAAGTCCCGAAAGAGTGCTCGATACCAAGACAGACTGGCCGACTGACCGTCAGTTGTAACATAACTCTGACTTAATTCACAGTGGCATCTATATGCACCCCCTTCTTTAACATTCAGAAACCATATTTTGCATTCAGTGTATGTATGAGTACATGACATATGATTCCAACAAGAAACAGCCATTATTTACCTGTGCAGCAATAACTGATTGGTGGTAGTAATTGAGACCTAGCAATTTGTCTGTGAGGTAGGAGTAGAGTTTATAAAATATTATTTGGACGAACTCCAGGCTTCAAATCATGCTTCTCATGCAGCTCCACCAATTTAAATTAATCAAATTTATTCCCCCTTGCTGAGGAGGCCACAAAACTCTGAAATTATGTATTTCAGCATTAATTAGAAAATTACAGAGTACTGCCTTCTGGGATATAACACTGTGTAGACTGCTTGTAGTCTGCTGACATCAGAGGAACATCGTGGCCATCTTCAGGGTTGAAGAATAAGCTGAGCAAGATACCAGCTTGAAAGGTGGAGGTGATATATTTCTCTGAAATGTCGGTTGATTTTCAGTTGATTACATGGCATTATATTCCAGACGATAGTAGTCTCCATAACCACTGCTGTGAGAAACCAAAATCTTACATAGAAAATTAAAGTTCCATGCCCCTTTTTTCAGTACACAGCTTGTTCAGGCTTCAGAGGCTTGCAAGTAGAATGTGACGTTTCAGATATGAATACCTACTGAAAAATGTTACTATGAGTGAAGTGGCTCAGGCAGTAATGCTTGTGACTTGTATTCAGGATGTACCTGGATTGATTCCTGGCAAAAACACTAACTATCCTGACTGAGGTTTCTTGTGGTTTTCCTCAGCCTCTCGATGGTGAATGCCGTGACACTGTCTCATCCTACCATTTGGTGCTAAATAGTTTGAGCTGCTGACAGCTTTGTTGTAAACCATAAATAACGGGAAACAGATATCATTCACATAAATGTAGTGAAACTTGAGTTTCTCTTTCAGAATTGGATTCTGGCATTTTTTCGTAAAGTGTATTCATGTTGCATAGATGGCCTGGAACAGCAATCACAGTGATGATAGTAACCAAAGTAATCAGGGAACCCTTGTCTCCTGTGATGTACAGCATGATACATTTTCAAGTTCTGTGGGCACCCCATTAATGCATAAATACTAAAAACAACTACTTATGATTGTGATAAAGCTGTATGTGATTGTTACAGATCTAGAGGGGTGTCAGTTAAGATACTGCTATCACAAGTGGTGAAGGATGACATTGATGTTTGAGTGATTTCTGCTGTATGCAGAAGTTCATCCATGAAGATGACCTGTACTTAAAGGTATGTTTCACAGCACACGATCCTTACCAGTTGATGTACCACTAAGATTCTGTGAGCTGTACTCTGGAGATGTCTTATCTAAATATTTTCAGGGCTACTGGGCTATCCTGACTGAGTTTTTTTTTTTTCCCCCATGAGCAGGCACTGCCTGCCCCTGTGGTCTAGTGGTCAGAGTTCCTGGCTACAGATCCGGAATCCTGGGTTCGATTCCCGATGCTACCAGATTTTCTGAGAAATTGGGGGTCTGGAATTGGGTCCACTCAGCCTCGTGAGGATAATTCAGACGCTATTTAAATTGAAAAGTAGTGGCTGTGTTCTAGAAAACCGAGATTAACAGCCGTGGGAATCCGTTGCACTGACAGTGCGACACCCTCTGTCTGCAAAAGTTGGCACTAACTCCACTGACAAATGGCGGTTGCTATAGTTCACTTGCGGACTAAAGGCCACGGAGGTTTTACTTTATAAGCAGGCACTGGTATAGTACCTTCAGATAAATCACAACAATCTGCTTCCCAGTCCTCACACACTTTCCACTCATAATCACATCTTTGTCTCATTTGGTACTAAAATAGCCTAGGAATCGTTAGTCATTTTGGGTGTGTTTTCATTTTCATATGATGAACTGGCAGATTTCAGTGCACGTCAGAAATGCTGACTGGTGCGACAAAATTACTATTACCAGCTAACATTTCCATCAGAATGGGGTGTGCTGTGACAAAGCTTTATTTATTCTTGTCTTTTCCATAAGCAGTCCTTTGAGAAGTGTTTGAGATTGTTTGTTGCTGGTGAGAAACAGAAAATATTGCGCGAGGTAGTACTATTCTCGTTTTGTAATTGCATTATATGCTAAATCATAATTTTTGTACTTCAGGTGTTTGCTAACTTTTAACGAAAGATATAAAACATTTTAAAGCCATTTTGTATTTCATTTTCATTTTATTTTTATTGTTATTTATTTATTCTGTAGACATGATAAATCTAGCTGGTTTTAAATTGGATGTGAACTTTTTTCAAGACTTTGTTGACTTCTTTACCATGAATTGTTTCCAAAAATCAGTGTGTTCATCATACATGAGGGCATGTGATACACATGTAAATATGGCATATTAGTAGTAATTAAAATTATAAAAATATTCATGAATGAACAGTTTAAAAAATGCTTAGATACTTGTGTGTGTGGTCAGAGGTTCTAGCAGGTAGCTTAGGAGAGGATCTCAAGTACATTGCTCTGGGGCACATGATGCAGAGGTCTGGAAGAGGGCAGGAGTCTGAGCAGGTCTGCAGAACTGACCAGATGGATTATATGAGGTTTCATTTAATTATTATCATTTGTTGACAGGTCTAAAGAGGTACCCCTGAGGAGACTGAAGTAGCAGCTGCTTGTGTTCAGGCAAGCACTGTGTTGAAATGGTGAAGACTACTAATGTTTGGGAGGAACTTCCTACGTCATATTTTAGTATCAAAAACAAAACATCAGTATCATTACCATTTGACTGCGCCGTAGCTCAAGCAGTGAGTCGCTGGCTTCCCACTGCTGCGGCCTGGGTTTGATCCCGAGTCTGGTTGAGTGGGATTTGTGGTGGACAAAGTGGCGGGTTTTCTCCAAGTACTTCGGTTTCGCCTGCCAATCTTCATTCCACCCAATTCTCCATCATCATAATCACCTGGGGCAGGTACAATAGGCCAATCAGTGGCCGCCGTGCTTAGTGGACCCAGCTGGACTCCACCCACCACTAAGTGAATCATTACCATTTTGACATGCTGCTGTACCTGGACCCAAGACACTCTCACTGCACAGCATCCAGGAAGAGCCGTTTGACTTCAGACTGAGGGCAGTCAACAACTTTACCCACCCTCTTACTGCACAGAACTACTGGGAGCATGCTTACCAAAGGTTAGTGTCTCTTGTGGTACTATAGCCAGTGGATCATCATCTTGAATTAGCAAACTCACAGGTTGATGAACTTCAAGAAAATCATAAATTATGACCATTTTTAATATAGAGTGTATTCGTATTTACAGCCTGATGGACAAGCTGTTCTTGAGAGTAAGGGTGTTTGAGCAGGACGGTAAGGCTAGGTTGGAACCTTGGGAGCACAGTTCGGGGCAGATACCTGACGGCTGATTTTTGCCCCCACTAAGAAGCCATGGTGGACTAAGGAAGCAGCCACCGAGATGTTACAGGACTTGAGGTTTCATGGCAGTTCATATTCCTTGTTGAGTCCCTAGGTATCGCACTATCTTGAAATGGCAAAGATTACTGACATTTAGGAGGGGCTTCATGCTATTTTAGTACTGAAGACAAAACATCAGTAATTATTACCATTTTGACATGGTGTTATGCCCCGCTACAACATCCATGAGCCATTTGACTTCAGCCTGAGAGCTACAACCAAGTTTCATCCCATTATTGCACAGAACTATTGGGAGTCTGTGTACTACAGGTTAGTGTCTTTTAAGTTGGATAACCTTGAATTATAGCAAACTCACAGTTCAGTGCATTTCAATAAAATAAAAAATTAAGTACAATAGATCATTGAAGGTCGTAGTGAGGGCGCCAGTTTTTATGGCCCAACCCTTACATACATGACCAGTTATAATATGGTATTGAGATTTACAGTGTTTATATCTCTGTATAAATGTTACTGTATGTTGGCAGTCCTGGAGTAGAATCTGAAGGATGTCAAGTGAACAAGGACCACTCAGTATCTTCCTCTCCATTTGTCAGTTGTGCACCATCTACAAGAAGACTACAAATTAAAGGTGTTATATCAGCTGCTCTTCACTATGACTGGACCCCATGTTTGGATGCAAGAGGAGGTAATTAGGAGGCATGGTGCCTCAAGCATGTTATATTCATTCTTCTTAGCCAATATTTCTTTGACTTTTTTTCAGTAGCCATACCCCTTCTGACTGGAAACTAGATTTGTAACTGTAGACTGTGTTACAATGGATCATAAACAGGACAGAGCTTAAATGAAGAAACTTTATTTATTTGTATGCACCAGAAAAAGTTGTACAAAGGAAATGTGTCAAGTTTTATTTAGGCTCTTTCGGCCTCTGACAATACACGTAGTATCTCTGTGACGCTTCAAGTACCCCTGGTCCAACACTGCATCTCTAGGCAGTGGATGAGTCAAGAGTCTGTTTAAGGCATTAGGTTGAGCTCATAAGTACTGTGGTTGGGGGTTTGGATTTAAGGGTATCAGCGGATGTAGGTAGGGATCAGACATGAGGAGTTTGCTTGGAGGGAGTGGGAGGTGGGACATAGTCTGAACTAGTGAGCATGAGTAATGTGATCCCACATTAAACTGATTAACTGGTGTTCAGCTGACCCAATGATTCCAGCCACACTATGGCCCTGGGGTCGACTCAGCCTCTAACAGAAATGAGTACCAGGAATCTTCCTGGGGGTAAAGGGTGGCTGGTGTGTAAGGCTGACAACCTCACTGTTTTCTGTGAGTTGACTGTATAGAAAATGTAGGAGCCTCAACGTCTCACAACCCAGTGGGCCTCTACTGCCTGTTACAGGGACAGCTTTACCTTTCTTTTTTTACCCTGCAGGCACAATATGCAAGGGTGCTTGCTTATAGATATTTCCAAGGAAAAATGGAGATGGTCACAAGGCTCGGTACAAGCTGTCAACATGTAAGTGGCTTTGTATAACAGGTAGAATGAGGATGCAACATACTGGGATGAGTGAACAGGAATGTTATGCGGGTGGGGTGGGAGGCCATGTTCCTCAGGTTCCCAGGATGGCTGGGCACCAGTAATGGTTGAATGGTATGAAGTTACCATTTGAAAATGTAGATGTAATAGGCTTTTTGAACTCTCTGAGGTATTTGATGTGCATAGTGTTTTGGGAACTGACTGTATTATCATCTTGGCATGATTAGTTGTGATTATAAGAACATACTTTTATTATTGTCAATCTAACCTAGACATTTTGAACCCAAGGCCAGTAAGCTGCCTAGTGGGGTGACTCAGGAATTGTCAATCTACTTACATTAGGGTGGCCACACACCAAAACAAGCATCAAGACATGAGACAGAAGATGCAGTCTTGCTTCATTCATAATTCATCAGCATCATGACTCAGACTGGTGTGTGGTGGTTTTCATAATCTCATGCGTTGTAGCTGTGCTCCTTTCTTTGCATCATGTTGCAGACATTGTGCGGCCTACTTTACACATGTTTTATAGTGGGGGAGCCACGTGGAACTTGTGTCTATGGTTGGTTGAGGGCCTGTTCTGATGACTCCAGAGAGTTGCGGTTTCCTGGTGATCCTCACATCAGCCAACCAAGTGTAGATGTGGCTCTCCCCACTATGAGAGAGGGAGTAACCATGTGTGTAACATAAGTGAAGAGTAATGACAAGAGTCCCTGAGCCACCCCAGTGGTCTAGTGATTAATGTATCAGCCTGGTGTTCAGTTCCAACTACAGACACTGATTTCTGAAATAATTATTAAAATTAATTTTGCTGTACATTATGTTCCAGTAACTTAATATTTTGCTTTGCAGGTGACCAGGTCCATGTGCAGTATTAACACGGGGCAACCTTGGCATGCAGGATTGAGGAAAAAAGGTAAATTGAAGTTATAAACATGTCTGAATATTAAATTGAAAGTAGATGTGTGCTTCTGTATTTATACATGTTGAGTGAGTTCTATTGTACTCAGCATTTCACTGTATCAGGTGCAACTATATCACGTATTGGTTACTTTTAGTGATCTTCAGGGACTGCCATACATGCTGAAGTTTAAAAACAGCGTGTGGTGAGAGTCCCCAGAAGATGGCTGAAAGAAGCCAATGGTATTTGTGATAAATAGCTGTAATTATTGAGGGAAATTTTATGTAATTTTATTTTGTAGAGGATAATGAAAACTAATGTGAGATTTTTATTTTTGCATTGCAGGGAGGACGATGAGAGGTATCGGAGTTCTGGCGTGGAGGAGGACATGTACGAGTGTGCCACGGAATTTCATTTTCTACGAGATAGTGCGCAGAATGTGCTTCAGTTTTTCCCACCATCTTTTCCTCCATTTATGCTCCTCCTCTTTCTCCTTTATAATCCTCTAGTACTTCTTTCATTTCCTTTCTTTTGAACTTCATTACATTCTTGAAGAGTAATAACTTGTATATACATAATACTTTTTGTGAATTATATAATTTAAAATTTGATTACAACAGTCTTGAAACTTCATAAATATGTGCACATGTACACTGCCTGTGCATTATATATAAATACAGTGTAGCATCACATGCATACTAGCAACTTACAAGGAAGACAAAAAGCAGAAGTTCTAGAAGAAATGTGGTGCTGGCAGAAATTGAAGCTCTTTGTGCGCACTATCTCCTGAGAAATTAAATTTTGTGGCACCCCCATACATATCCTCTCCAGTGTGAAGCCATCCATAAGCTTCCCAGTGTTCTCCACAACCTGGAAACAAACAGAACAAAATCAGTATTGTTACACTTCTCATAGCAATGTACTACTCCATCTTAACTTACTGGTACTCTGTTGAAGGAAATTCCCTTTATACAAGTAACTTAAGATGGAGGCACTACATTGCTGTGAAACATAAAATGCTGTAAGGAAGTTTTTCAATTGCAAATAAAATCAATCAGTAATCATTTCTGGCAGTGACAAAGCCCTTAATATAGTTCCTCACGAGTACCATGCTCACAACACAAAGAAATAATGTCTCTGCAAACAAAGTCCAGAACTTCAAATTACCCTTACATTCTCTTTAACATTATGACATGATTTTCAAGACTGAAGAGTAAGCTGAACAGCAACTTGATTCTTGCTTGGGTTACCCTTCAACCCTAATCATGGTGACAACATTCCTCTAGAGCATTGACAGACTTCTGCTAGAATGGGAATGTTCTGAATTTCAGTGTGAAACTTTCATCCAAAAGATCAGTTACCTCGTCTATATAGGAGTTGAGACAGCATAGTTAATACAGTGACTTGCTACAGGCTGAACGACAGATGTCACAGTTTGAGTCCCGGTAGGATTGAGAATTTTCTTTTCTCCAGGTTTTCCAGACCAGCTCTAGGGTCCACCCAATCTCCTATTCAGTGGGTACCAGGGGCTTTACCGTGGGGTAAAGCCGCCAAGGCATGAAGGTGACCACTCACCTCTCAGCTATTGCTGAGGTCAAGAAGATGTGGATCTATATATCCACTCCCCCATACGCTTTCATGGCATAGTGCTTAATTAGTTAAGCACTGGGACAACTTTACCTTTATCTTACCCCTATTTATCTATGGCTCTACAGCCCTTATGGACTTTGGCTGCTTTTTCAGTTTCTTAAGCTATACCGTCGCTAGGACTCCTTGGACAGAGGATCAGCCCATTGCAAGGCTCCTCCCTACACACAGAATAAACTTGAAGACACATGCCTTGAGTGGGATTTGAACCCACAATCCCAATGTTCGTGCAGGCTAAGGTTCATGCCTTAGACTGAGGCCACTGTGATCAGCTTACCCCACCTATATAAATGCATTATGCTCAGAATCCAAGGCTTTGATTTAGGAATTTCACCAGAACTTCTGGTAATTCGAAAGGAATGTACCAGTAGCATTCAGTTTCCCGTGCTGATGTTACGTATGGGCTTATACATATAGGGCAGTTAGATCTGATTCTGAATTCAGTAAATTTAAAAACTGGAAATTTACGTCACAGCCTACAGTCTATAGACATAAGTAGCCAGTATATCACTGCTACCGAGTATGGGACACATGTCGGTAGCTTCACCCTAATGACATATATGGCAACCTAACCACACTCTAAGCTGGCACTGAAAATTCCTAGTAGACCACTTGCCCAGGTAAGTACAACCGTACATGACAGAATTCTACAATAATATTTTCTTCTGCCTAACTGCTCGTATCTCCAATATTTGATTTTCAGCAAGTATTGGGGGGGGGGGCATTTTAAGCTTTAATGTTCAAATGCGTGTGCTCATACAGTTCATACCAACACAGGTTCTGACTAATGACCTAGTGCCACAAATCTGAGCATGTATTTATTCTGTGTGGTGTATGAAGCTTGATCCCTGATCTTTTTGGTGTGCTAAAATTTATGAGAATTCACCCATTCTAAATGATATGCTGACAAGGCAGTAACTTCCCCCCTGCCAAGAAACTATACTGAGAACGTTATCACTGCCTGAGTTTTGACATGGCATCATCTTTAGTTTCATGAACATTCTAATTACGAAATAGTATCACAGAATTCCACTATTTATCTGAACACAATTGGGTTCCAACATTTTAACTTAGCCATAAAGTGAATAATAATAATAAAAGCAAATGTTGATGCAGTAGTGTCTTCTTTGTTTTGAATACTGATTGTTGTGCAGATAGCATATCCTATACTTTATATATCTTATAAAGTGAAAATCCTAAGAAATGCTACTAATTGGAAGAAACAACTGTATAAGATGTTTTGCAATTCTTACAAACTCAATTACCTTGTCTCCATAAGCCAACTGATACACACATCACACCTGATTTGCACTCTTGTCTCTTGATGTATTCATTTACTGTGAACAAACAGCAAAACACAATATCAGACATTTTCAGTGCTGCTTCCCTCTCCAGAAGTGACAACAAGCTCCTTAAGATGAAACAGTAACACATTAAACACACTCCAAGCACTTTTAATCATGGCATTAAATTAAGATGTGTAAGCAGCTTCATGCTCTAAGCAAATACCCACACTACCAATTCAACAGGATACTGGGTGTGCCCCATAACCCTGTCTAGACATGACTGCAAAGAGGAAACTCCATACCCCTACAGAGAATGAAGCCCTAACTGTCTAGTTCATAATTTCAAAATAAACTGCGGAAACCAAACATGCCATGTGTTTCACTTACATTTTCACTGTCCACACTTAACAGTTGTTGTTGCTGCTGTTGTTATTGGAGAGGGTGGGTTTCCCCATGCACTTAGACCAGATATTGGTCCATTGTGCGTTCCCCTGTGATATTTTACCAGTCTCTATACCCTACCGGTACTGGTGCGTACCATCAGTCCCGACTCAGCCAGCGAGTTCGGCCTCTACTGGCTCAGTGGTATTTTGATGCTTCCCCCATCTACCAGAGGCGTTAGAGACTACTGTTGGGCGGGAAAAGTCCTGAATTTGGCTCAGAGGTCCCCTTGAGACATGAGGTTCTTTTACGTGCTGTAAAGCTACGACACAGGACCCACGGCTTAAAGTCCCTCCTGGAGGACTTGTTCCCTGAATTTTTCCGCCCTTAAAAATTCCACGACCTCTGCCGGGTTTGAACCCGCATACCTTGAGTCACGAGGTGGGAATGTTACCCCCTAGACTACGGAGGCCGCTACACTTAATAGTTACTGTTAATATATATCCAGGGGCTACAAGGCTAGAAGCTCACCACTTGCCTCCACTCCACCATACATCTTCATGGCATGATTCTTAATTAATTAAGCACAGGAACAACTTTCCCTTCAAATTAGTGATTTTCTTGAAAGTTTTACTTCTATCCAGGATTTTGAATTTGGGGTCACAGAGGTCATACAGTTTTTTTTGTGTTCAAGGGACACAAAACTTTTAAATTCATGAAAATCTCAATGATTCCCATCAAAAGAAAACCAAAGTGGCTTAGTAAAATTTAGTGTAGGTCTACAATACCAAGTTTCAATGAAATTAAACCAGTGCTTTGGCCACTTATAGACCCATTCTACCTCTCTGGTAATGACATGACCACACTATATTGTGCTGAAATGTACCACATTTATTGGTCTGCTTCATATTCAGGATGGTCCTGGTTCAAATTTTGATCCAGAAGCTTGCTATCTTGACTGAAGTTTCTGTGGTTTTTCCTGGTCACTCTGTGCAACTGCTGGGATAATGCCTTAAACTAGGCCATGACCACTTTTAAATTCCCCAATCACAGATACCCTACCATTTAACAGTAACTCATGTAACTGAAAGTTATGAAATAAACCAAGGATCATGCACCAAAGCTACCAAATTCCATTTATGAAATGTACTTCACCACTAATAAGGCAAGCAGAGGCCAGGATGGTTAAACTGTCCGTAAATGGAAGCATTGCCACCACAACAAAAGTAACTATATAGAAACAAGTTCTCCCATTTTCCTCTTTCTGATATATCCAATTTTACAATGTGTTACTGCAGTGTGGTACCTATCAGCACCAAGTTATGGACCGACTGGTATCTCAACACAATGACCCACCATGCGCTTTGCTTAAGGAAGGCAACCAATTTAATTAACACCATTATAAAACTATGATATAACTGATGATGAATTCATCACAGCACCACACACAATTACAACAAAACACCAGAAGGATATGGTACATCAGAAAGCTGAACCACATGCTGAAGTGTCGAAAAGAAATTAAGCTTTGAAGCTATAAGGAATCTAAAAAGCACCAACGGAAGATATCTGTGCTGAATTAATTAAGTATGAAGGAGGGCTAGGGTTGTGGAAACAGATTCAGGCATCAACATCAGCATAATTCAAAAGTGTGATAAATTAGGATGCAGTATCAGTTGGAGAATATCATTACTAAATATAAGTTATAAAATTTTGACCAATAGCTGGTTCCGCATACAAAATAGATTTCTGAAGGACATACAACTACTGATCAACTCTTCACATGAAGACGGGTAATTGAGAAAAGCGCATGAAGTTAGTACTGATTTGCATTACTGTTCATTGATTTTAAGAAGCTTACAATATGACAGAGAATATCTATATCAAACTTCAATGGAATTTGGAATTCCTAATAATCAGTTACCTACTGAAAATTATCTTTACAGACTGCTTGGTTAAAATTCAAAGCCAAGTTTCCAACAATTTTAAGATTAAAAGGAAACTCAGAAAAGGAATACTTCACCTTTATGAAAATTTGTGATAAATATTAATATTTTTAAATAGAAAATCCTAAACATTAATTTCTGCTGAAAAGTTCTATCTTCTGAGACATAATGCTATGTATGCCATTTAAAAGATCAGGTGTTTCACAGGAACATGTTGCACCTGCTTTCCACCCACTTTCACATTGGTTTATTCTTTTTGCCCTGAAGCTGGAGGTGACATATTCCTTTGAAACATCAGCTGACTTTCAAAAGAACTACATGGCATTATATCCCAGAAGACAGGACTCTCCATGTACATAATTTAACACTAAGATTACTGACTTGGTATCACTGAAACTGGGCTTTAAATGGGGGTTCCACTGTACTATGCAAACTGGAAGCAGCATCCTGATTGCCAATTTCCAAGCACCATGCCCTAAAATTAGGTTGATATGACACGCACCTTTCCTACAGCAATTCCTTGTAGTTCGTGAGAGGGAGAGATTCCAGTGTGTCCTTCAGTTTCAAGCCAACAGTCTCCTCAAAGATGATATGCATAGGGGCGAGATGGGTGAGGTTCCTGGATCATCCTTCTTCAGCAATCTCTCCACTGGAATGCCAGAGAACTCCTGCCAACAAGGAGTCACACCTATAAGAGGGTTTCAATCCTTCCACTTATATCTAACTGTCCTAAGCCAGGAGGCAGCCCCACTGTGCAAACCTATTAAATCCTGAAGATATAATGCTGTGCAGTCTAATGAAAGTCAACTGACGTTTTAGAGGAACATATGACGTCCATCTTCAGGGTCTAACAATAAGCCAAGCAGGAAACCAAAGTTAAAGCAGGTGGCAAACAGAGCCTGCATTACAGCCCTTGATGGACACTTTAATTAATCATGAAAAATTCTAGTTTCTGGGATATGATGCCATGTACTCCACTTAAATTCAATGGACGTTTTCGAGGACATGTTCCTCCAAAAGTTGGTTGACTTTCAACAGACTGTATCAGTCCCCCTTCCAAGGGAGTTTTTAACAGGCAGGATTTATGGTTCTCACAGCAGTGGTTATGAAGGAGCAATACGGCACATGTTCAAATTTTCTGTTAAGAACTCCCGGCAAACTCCATAACTGATCCCAACGGTGTCTGCGAGCTCATAGATTGTTTGGCGATGGTCTTTGTTGATGAGTTCTCCAATTTTTTCAACATTTGTTTTGCCTGTGCTTGGTTGCCCTGACACTTGATCGGCCTTGAAACATGAATGCCACTGAAAAACCACTGTCCAGCTTAAAGAATGTTCCCCAAAAGCCTCATGAAACATTTCAACGGTTTAAGCAGCTGATTTACCAAGCTTCATGGAAAACTTGATGCAGACACATTGCTCGATTTTGTCATCCATCAAAGACGAAATGAAACATGAAGCTGAAAAATCACTCGTGTAAAAACAATGCATGTTCGCAGCACAGTGTCATGTGGCAGACTGATATAATAGGCTTGTGGAAGTGTGACCCTTGGCCTCCTTTGTCATCTTCTTTCACTAATAGGGCCATGCCACAGCTCAAGCGGTTAGTTACTGGCTTCCCACTGCGGCGGCCTGGGTTCCATCCCGGGTCTGGTCAAGTGGGATTTGTGGTGGACAAAGTGGCACTGGGGCAGGTTTTCTCCAAGTACTTTGGTTTCCCTTGCCAATCTTCATCCCACCAATTGCTCCACAATCACCCTCACCTATCATGTGGGGCTGGTACAATAGGCCAGAAGTGGCCGCAGTACAAGGGACTTAGTCCCACACAACTAGCAAAAAAAAAAAAATAGTCCAGGAACTTTCCAGTAACACCTCACAAGTTATATGAATGTTACTTTGTTCAAACCGATATGTAATTTTAACATTTTTAATACTTCTTGGCTCCTAACTTTTGTTCTCCACCTCAAGGTTCCCTTTTCCTTATTCTACTTATGTTTGTTTCATGGCATTGTGAACATTACATATTTTGCACATTTTATATGCTTTAATGATCAGCTGCTGTCTGTGCTGATGATATGAAACTACAGGGAGATAACAAAGATGCCATAAAGAAAAACACACAAACTTCAATTGATGCTATTAAGGAGGTTGGTCTAGAAGTAAATTCAGAGAAATGTAAGTATACGTTGCTGTCGTCACCAGAATGCAGAGCAAAATCGTGACATAAAGATAGCTAACAGATCCTTTGAAAATGTTACATAGTTCAAATATTTGGGAGCAACAGTAACATACCAAATTTTGATTCAGGAGGAAATAAAGAAGAAACTGAACTTGGGTAATGCTTGCAGCCATTCAATCCAGAACCTTTTGTCTTGTCTGCTGTCCAAAAACATAAAAAACAGAATATACAAAATTATAATTCTGTCTGTGGTTCTGTATAGGTGTGAAACTTGGTCTCTTACATTAGGAGACAAACACAGACTGAGGGTGTTTGAGAACAGGGTGCTGAGGAGAATAAAGAGAGATGAAGTGACAGGAGGTTGGAGAAAACTGCATAGTGATTAGCTTCATAAGTTGTACACTTCACCAAGTATAATTAGAATGATTAAGTCAAGGAGGATGTGATGGGCAGGGCATGTAGCACGAATGGGGAAGAAGAGGAATGCATATGTGATATTGGTTGGAAAGCTAGAAGGAAAGAGGCCACTAGCACTAGAAAGACCAAGACAGATGGGTGTATAATATTAAAACTGATCTTAGAGAAAGGATAGGATGGTATGGACTGGAGTGATATGGCTCTGACAGGGACCAGTGGAGGGCTCTTGTGAAAATGGTAATGAACCTTCTGGTTCCATAAAATGTTGCAAAATTCTTGGGTAGCTGTGCAACTGGCAGCTTTTCAAGAAGGGCTTAGCTCCATGAAGTTAGTTAGTTATATGCTTTAATGCACTCTTTTGTTTCTCTCAGAATTTTGCAATTTAAATGCAATGTATTTAAAGTAAACCCTGGCAATGACCTATGGGGGGGGGGAGTAAAGTTATCCTTGTAACAGGCCATGGAGGCCCAAAGGGTTGTAAGACATCGAGGCTCCCACATTTTCTAGACAATCGGCTCACAGATGGCGGTGAGGTTGTCAGCCTTATGCACTGGCAGCCCTTTACCCCTCAGGAAGATTCCTGGTACTCATTTCTGTTAGAGGCTGAGTCGACCCCATGGCCATAGTGCGGCTGTAAGGATTAGGTCAACTGAAATATCCAATTACCTGAGTGGGAATTGAACCTGCAACCTTCTGGCTCGTAGAATAGTGCCTCAACCAAGTACCCTACCACATGCCCCCATGAGTTACTAAACTATCTTCTATTAAAAATACTGTGGTACATTGGCTCTATGCAAGAACTATTTAGCCACAGAGGCCTCGGGGCACGTGCGCAACGTGAGAGTTGCAGATTGTATTGGCACGTTGCTAGGCAACAACTCTGTGAATGCTTTGACTGCACAACAGGAAATGCGAGTGACATCACATACCCGTAACTACGCAACGCTCGGTAAACAGCCCTCACCACTAGGCTGTGATGTCACACAACAGGCGAGTCCATGCAGAGACTATTGGTAGGGAATCAGTAAACATGACGTTACGCAAAGTGGTAGCTATCACGTAACTGTTTTCTGTGTTGTCAGTGTGGAAGCTACATAATGAGGAGTATTCGTCAGAGAGAGAGAGTGTTAAGAGAGTATTCATTATAAGTTGAAGTCCAGCAGCTACGAGTTGTTACTGAGTTGTATCGAGTGAATGGAAGTGACTACAGCAGGAGAAGTAAATGTGATACTGCAGATGGCAGTGATTGTGAAATTGTGAACTGTGTAAGTGTATGAGCGAGTGCGCAATAAATTCGCTAAGATCGAAAACGGCATGAAGTTATTTGTCGCGTTACAAACACCCAACACGTGACAATAATATTAAAACTAAAAAAGTTAATTCTCTGGAGAAGGGTGGGGGATAATGATATTGCAAGATTAGGATGCATAATGAACAAGGTTAAGAACTGCTGTTGTACATAGGTGGCCTTCTCTATACTCCTTGCCAGCTCTGAATCAGATATCACTCACCATTCGGCATAGCAGTTCCTTCATTAATGTCTCCAGGCCTGTCAACTGTTCATCAATGTGTTCAAATATTTATTATATCAAAAACACTTTGCCATAACTAATGCACATGAATGTTTGCTGCAAATATTTTAGATATTATGAACTGTAAACATATCAGGTTTTCATTGTGCATGAAGTCTAACTCATATCCATAAATGTAACTGTACCATGCATATGGGAAACAACTAGGATGATAGATTTACCAAAAGTGCATCATCAAGTATGTATTATGCATAGTCTAGGCAGCCCTCTGTCAAATTCTAAACAACATGCTCTATCACACTGGGATTGGCACCCACCTAGAAGGCTACACAGAGTTATAACCCAGAAAATCACAATACAAACCTTCACCACTGTGAAACTTCAAAACTCACTGGTACAGACATGTCACACCTTTCCTTTGGAGACTCCTCACAACTGGTATGCACGAAGACGGCAGAATTTTCCGGGTTCCCTCCCTTGGCTCAAGTCAACAGCCCCACTGTAGGCCATCCATGCTGGGGGGGAGAGGTGGCTTCCTTGATCCTCCTTGTTCAGTTCAAACCCAGTGGAAGTAGGTAACAGAACTTCTTGCAGACCTGCAAACAACAGAACATCATAAATTACAGTTCACCTATAAATATTTAGTCTATTAACCAAAAATCAATTGCTCTATTGGCCAATGTGTAGTCGAAGTTGAATCTGCTGGCAACTCACCCCAAAATGAGTGTCCAGTTTCTTGAAGTCACCAGGCAGAGTTGGACTTCCGGGAAACTCCTCACTTTGGTCCTCACACATGGGCAGGTTCTTCATTACACCCACAGAAACTTCTTCATGGGATAACATTTGACTCCTACCAACAAAGAGTTACACCTGTAAGAGGACATTCAAAATTTCCAATTACATCAAACCGTCCTATGCACGGAAGCAACCACTTACAGTGAAAATGAAGCCATTATTTTCCTTTGGAAGGGGAACAGGTGCTTCATATTTAAGTTCTTCCTACACAATAACATATCCGAAGTCAGTAGTCTTAACGCCTGATCTGCTGAGTCAACTGCACAACATTCATCTACTTTAATGTACCATCTCTGCATCTTTTGGAAGGGGCCAAGAAAAAAAAAAACATGAAAAATCTCAGACATGATAGTGTGTGACCCAACAGAAATTAAAATTGGACAGTTCCACACGGTATAACTATTATTGATCTAATTTGGAGTAGTGAAGCTAATCCAAATCTACACAGGACTAAAAGTTTGTGGCGACCGTACATTAGTACAAGCATTATCTTTATGGATATTATCCATCGTCTTGTCCGGACATATGGACTAGCTCCATCGATTGGGCCCAACCGAGTAGGTTTTACTTGAAGATGGAGAAAGAATCCAGTGTCCAAAAAGTTGTGTTTGAAAAATAAACAGGACAGTTTTTAGATAAAGACATAGCAATGGATAATATCCCAAAACATATTTCTACTAATCCAAACCTAATTGGCATGGCACGTGATCCAATACAAAATAGAAGTATTTCAAGGCCTACGTATAAAATATTATTTATCCCTTACCTACAAAATCGTATTGGACATTCCCGAAACTGTACACAACACACCATTTCGTTAATTCTTCCATTTTAAAGCATCCAAGTTATTTTCTCCCTTCTCCACATAACAGCCATGTCAAATTATTAACGAATCAAATCACATTATATTTCGGGGACCAATACCAAAGACCAAAAATACATCACAAATCCTCGCACAACGATCATAAACCATGATATCTTAACGATCTTGACGACGGCAACCTGTGCCTTGGGCCCCTTGAACGTGGTTATGACGCAGAGGTTCTTTGCTTACGTGTGTATGGTTAACTCAACGAAAAGTTTTGAGTATTAATATGATTTTACGAAGAACTGTCCGGCTATTTTTTTCATCGAGATTGGCCCTTTTAAGTTAAATATATTTTTCCACGTGTTTTGCGGGTTTTGGGAGATTTGAATAACACGAGTACTATGCGCACATTTCTGATTTCTCTATTCAATAATCAAGGTCTCTCTAACGTATCCTGATTTCAGAATATCCTTGTTTTTCGATTATTCGTATAACATTTTCCCTTCATTGGGACAAACAATCAGGAGTATACTGTATACAATTTTTTTAAAACGTGCAGTCTACATTATCATACAATGCGTTTCAGGACATAAAAAAAAACAAACTCCGTGGTTTTAGTCCTCAAGCGAACTATACCGACCGAGCGACCACCGCTTGTCGGCGAAGTTAGCGGATAGAGGGTGTCGCGTGGTCAGCACAACGAATCCCCACGGACCCCCCCCCCAAAAAGAGAAAAGAAGTAATTGTACTGATTATTAACAGTATACTCTCAGATTTAAATTATGATCTATATTAAGAATCGCTCGGTAACCGATATTATAGAATAAGATATTTATATGAATGTGCTACAGAAGACCGGATGGGCAATGCCTAGGCCTTTCTTGTATTTACAATATTTTTTGTACAATAAAAAAAATCTCTACGGCCGTTAATCTCGGTTTTCTAGACCGGAGCCGCTATTTCCTTGAAATAGCTCCTGAATTATCCTCACGTGACTGAGTGGACCCCATTCCAAACCCACTACTTCTCAGAAAATCTGGTAGCGCCGAGAATCGAACCCGGACCCCTGGATCTGTAGCCAGGAACTCTGACCAGTAGACCATAGAGGCGTTCCAGGGCACATATACACAAAACGAATTTTATGGAACCTGAAGTTTCATTAGCATGCTCACAAGAGCCGTCCACCAGTCCCTATCCTAAGCCAGATCAATCCAGTTCATATGACATTCTCTCAAAGATCCATTTTGATATTATCCTCCAACCAATGTCTAGGTCTTCCTAGTGGTCTCTTTCTTTCTGGCTTTCCCACCAAAATCCTATATGCTCTCATCTTCTCTCCCACGTGTGTGGCATTCTCAACCTCATAGACTTAATTATTCTAATTATGCTTGGAAAAGGGTACAATGTATGTATCTGCTCATTATGCAGTTTGCTCCAACTTCCTATCACTTCATCCCTCTTCCGTCCAAATATGGTCTGATTGATGATACCAGTTACTGTAAGGAGCGGGAAGCCACAAATGACATTCCCATTTTCCAGTGTCACTGAAAACTAGAATTACAGTTTTCATAGGACAATCCATATCTGAGAAGCGAGTTTTACTGTTTGCCCAAGATGGCCATATCCACATAGTCAGCCTTCTTCTAGTCTCCAAACTGGTAACATCATTTAGCCCTTTAAAGGACAGCTGTCACTGTATGTGCACCATCTGCTACTCACAATTAACAGCTTTAATGAGTTGGTATTTGTAATGATGTGCTGTGATTTCTGTGAGGTATGAATTGAACCTGCTTCAGAAGGTTAAATGAACTAATTCTCTTTTGATTCCTTCACTAAACAACATTAATTGGTTGATCTTTGTACTGGGGAAATTGTGTTTCCTGTAAGGCAAGACCTGAACATTTAAACGCTAGACACACTTCATGCCTCAGAAGGTTAAAGTGCTCTAATTATATGAACAGAAGACCCTTATTTTCTGGTATAAAACAAAAATGAAAGGGCACAAGCAATTCAAGTATGAGGATATATATATATATATATGTACATTGATTGATATACATATATTGATGCTAAACACTTTCAAGTTGTAATAGTATGAGCTAAAATTAATACATTGTGCTCTCAGCACAGAGAATGAGAAATACTTCAAGGTCAGGAACCATGAGCTAGCTGTGAAGTGAAAGCGGTAATTCCCCATAAAGAGATATTACAGTCACACTTATGAGGATGGTAATGGTGCAGACACTAAACGTGAGGAAGGTTATGAAATTAATATATTAAATGACTTATTATGTGCTGTCATGATTCTTAGGTGGGTGGGGGCATTATCCCAGATTCAAACTCATCTTCAGTTTGGGTAAATATGGTAATTCTTTTTTGTGACTGAAGTATTACATTATCAACCTGTAACAAAAATGTTCTCCATACTCTTCCATTGATGTGAAACTTGGTCTTCTATTCTGAGGGCAAAACAGACAGGAAATACTTAAAATGAAAATAAGGAATTTTAAGGACTAAAAGGAACTTAGTAATGCATATTGCAAGGCATGGTAAAAGATTTAATAACAACAATAATAAAAATGAAAACACTCTTTGGCCATGGCCCACTCTGTCTTGCAATGGTAAACAATGTTCCCATCTTTAGACTAAAAGGTATACTTACTGACTAATGTTCAATTATGGAAACACTTCCACATCAGTTGAGCAATATTGCTATAGAAGGAAATTGCATTCAGGAATAAGAAATAAAGCACTTCAGTGCTTTAATATTAGCTTGGTTGTAGCGTTTATTTATACTTCACTAAGAATGCTATCAGTATCTCAGACTATATACTGTGGGACTGTCAATACTCCAATAGACAAACCACTTCGAATAGTTTGTAGGCCCTGAAAAGAGCTGTTCGGCTAGGATGTTTGGCCGGTGAAGTAGGGCTGCGTGCACCAGTAGAAATAAATGTTGGCTACGGTGTGTTGACTAGTGTTACGGCAGCTGAGTTAGTTGACTGGCCACAGTGCGGCAGTTGTCGGAAGTTGCCTGATCACAGAGCGTGGTTGCAGGAAGAAGTCTAGTTGTGGAGGCCGGTCGCTGGAGTGGCAGCAGCTGCGCCAGTTGCCCAGTGAGTCGGGCATGACCGCCGGCAAGCCGAGGCAGCCGAGTTTCCCAGTGAGTTGGGCATGACCGCTGGAGAGCTGAGGCAGCCGTCCTTGACGCAGCGAAGTGCCAATGACTCCAAAGACTGATCGCTCTGTATGAAGTGTGATAGCTGACTGGCTGATATGGTCACTGACTACTTGCGAGCTTTGTGCTCCGCCTTTTATATCATGCGTGATGGAGGAGCGAAATTTGCAGAGCGCTGATTGGCTAGCACGTGTAATGATCTGGGTGTGGGCTAGACAGCAAGTGCTGTATAAATGCGAGC